GTCATTTTTTTTTTTAACAAATCTGACTTTTTCTACCCTAGTTAACAACAACATCTGGAACTTTCTATTGTTCTTCCTTAAGTAATGCCCTATTTAAAAGGGAATGGTGCCGGGCGGTGGTGGCGCACACCTTTAATCCCAGTACTTGGGAGGCAGAGGCAGGCAGATCTCTGTGAGTTTTAGGCCAGCCTGGGCTACAGAGTGAGTTCCAGGAAAGGCGCAAAGCTACACAGAGAAACCCTGTCTCAAAAAACCAAAAAAAAAAAAATAAATAAAAAAAAATAAAAATAAATAAATAAATTAATTAAAAAAAAATTAAAAAAAAAATAAAAGGGAAAGGGTCAGAGGAAACTAATGTCTGTAACCTGAAGCTTCCCTTTAGGATTTTTTTTTTCCTTTTCTGGTTTTAGGTTTAAACTGTTAGTCCAGAAGGTAGGCAATCCAGAAAGTTACAGCTGTGTTCTCCAGTGTCCTTGTGGATTTGTCTTCCCTCCTACAATAGGGAGCAGTCAGGTTGATTTAGGGCCCACCTCACGTTGAAGGTCATTGTGCTAACTTCATCAATAGCTAAACAAACTGTTCTTTCCTCATTGCTTGTGGGCTACCCTTTGTGTTCTTGTTTTATTCTTCTGGGTGGAAAATGTAAAATTGGAAAACTCTAGGAGAAAGTATAAATATTTTGAAAGTGAGAAACTTTAATCAGTTAACCCAATATGAATCATTCATTTAAAATATTTAAGAATTTTTGTAACTTTCATAAATCCGTTTTATCGTGTAAGTTTAGTTTAGGATTCTTTTTAGAAATTGACACTATTAGTGTCATAGAGTTTCAGAGTTTTATGCTGAAGTTTACAGTAAGGTATAAGTTACATTATTATATATTATAATAATATATAATAAGTTTTCAAGATGATTGGAGTTGATAATTTCTTTATTTAATGCAGCTGTGGAGTCAGCTCAGCACCATGGGTGTTGGAGAGAACTGTGTTCCTAGTTCACCTTTTCAACATGAAGAATAATCATCAACAAAAATTGTTAGTTTTAGACTAAAAACTTTCAGAAGCACTTTTATTTGGTTCAAGCATGTTGTAAACAGCTGCCCGTCAGGAGGAAAACTTTTTCAAGAATGTTACAGTTTTGAGTGAAGAGTTAGCTAGAGGGGTTGCAGAGACGGCTTAGTGGTTAGCATGCACTCCCTGCTTTTGAAGAGGCTCAAGTCTGGTTCCCAGCACCCATGTCCAGAGGTTCACAACTGCCTGTAACTCCAGCTTCAGGGAATCTGCTTCCCTTTTCTGGCCTCTGAAGACATATGCATATACACGCGCGCGCGCGCACACACACACACACACACAGAGTCTCACTTAAAGAGTTAGCTAAATATGAGACAATGGAAGTCAATAAATAGTTGTGTTGGTTGCATTATGTTAGTTTCCCAGGCTGAATTGGTGACTGGAATGACAGGTGTTTACTGTTTCACAGTTCAAGAGCTTGGAAGCACCATCTCGGTTTCTTAACAGGAGGTTCTCTTCTGAAACCTTGGCGAGAGCTTTCCTCCTGCCTTCTAACTAGTTTTGATGGTTTGTTGGCAAGTTTTCAGCAGTCCTTGGCGGTTGTAGCTTTGTGTCTTCTACTTTCATCCTCAGTAGATGGTATTCTCCATGTGTGCTTGTCTTACATGGTCTTCTCTAAGGACAGCAGTCAAGCTGTCGTAAGAGCCCACCTACCTGCAGCATGACTTCCTGTAGCTAGAGCTTTCCTGCCTGGTCCACAGTCAGGACAAATCTCTCTCACCTGCCAGTCCCATAGCCACTCAGACCCAACCAAGCAAACACAGAGACTTATATTGCTTACAAACTGTATGGCCGTGGCAGGCTTCTTGCTAACTGTTCTTATAGCTTAAATTAATCCATTTCCATTAATCTATACCTTGCCACATGGCTCATGGCTTACCGGCATCTTCACATGCTGTTTGTCATTGTGGCGGCTGGCAGTGTCTCTCTGACTCAGCCTTCCACTTCCCAGCTTTATTCTCCTCCTTGTCCCGCCTATACTTCCTGCCTAGCCACTGGCCAATCAGTGTTTTATTTATTGACCAATCAGCAACACACTTGACATACAGACCATCCCACAGCACTTCCTCTTAACTGATTATGTCTTCCCTGACCCTGTTTCCTGAATAAGGTTAGATGCTGAGGTTAGAAAAGTGGAATGCAAGTTCTGGTCTTTTGTCAGCATGTAGTCAGCTGTCTTCATTTTGCCTTGTTCCTTGAAATGTCTTTTATAGACTGACTTCTCTCTGTGCACTTTTATCTGAGGTTGGTATTTTAGGTGGTCATGATAGTATCTGTAGTAAAAAGTTTGATAGAGAGAATGTTATATTGAAAATGCAGGAAAGCCAGGTGGTGGTGGTACACGCCTTTAATACCAGCACTCGGTAGGCAGAGCCAGGCAGATCTCTGTGAGTTCAAGGCCAGCCTGGTCTACAGAGTGAGATCCAGGACAGGCACCAAAACTACACAGAGAAACCCTGTCTTGAACCCCCCGCCCCAAGAAAGAAAATGCAAGAAATGCACAGTGCTATCTACTCCTTGATCTAGAGAATGCATCTCAATGAATCTTGCAGCTTTTATTTAAATGTTCAAAGGAATATATAGTTTGTCTCACTTCCCCCGCCTGCTACCAGGGATTGAACCCAGGGCCTTGTATATGAAGGCCAGGTGCTCTACCATGGATCTGTACCCCCCAGCAGTATTACCACTATGTAGAGGGATTTATAACATAATAAGAGTTTGACAAGGTGCAACAGAGGGAAGAGTTACTAGATCTCTTTGATTTCACCTGTGATATGACACACCTGTCTGACAGCATACTGTCCATCCTCAGGAAGTGTACAGCTTGAGAACAATTGGTCCATGCAGGTGTGCTTCCTCCTTTTAGGCTTGGTAGACAGAGTTTTGAGTGTCTATGTCTATAGGCTCACAGATTGCTTTGGTTACTTTTAAGGTTATAAGAAGATATGAACTGTGAGAATAAACATGTTTTAGTTCATGTCACTGTAGTTATACTCTTTATAATGTGACAGCTCCACAGAGTGGGAATTTCCAGCATTCCAGAAGGCTGCTAGACTTGCAGACCATGGTGTTTTTAAGCTCTGGGGTCTTACAGAATCTCCTTGTATTTCTCCATTCTAGAAAGAGGACTGCAGTGTGTCCCCTGTTTTTGAGGGTAAGATGGTGCTGGTTGGTGAACCTCTGCATAGTCTCCTATAAGAATCACTGACATTTAGCCCCAACACATCAGACAGGAACCCTTTCTAGCAGGCAGGCTCTATGGGCTTCAGTAATGCATGAATTGCTTTTAGGCATTGCCTGCACAGCAGCAGACAGTCTTCTTTAGTTCCAAGATGTGTCTCTGTTCTGTCTTACACATAGACATGTCTTAGACTCGTCCACCACAGCAAGACTGCAGATGAGTGACATGCAGATCCCACTGAATGGTCCCAGCAACCTTGGTGTCCCAAAGGAGAGCCTAGCCTTGTGATTTAACTGTAGGTGCCCAGCAGCAGCACCAGCACCTCCCCATACTAGGTGCTCAGTACCTAAGTATGTGATGTGCTCAAGAGCCTTTGCCCAAACAGAAAGTACTTTCTAGTTGACTGCTTCTGCTGCCTAGCCACCCTGTATGTTCCTGCCTGCCCTTGGGAGCATTGCAGTGGCCACACAGCTCACTAGTAGCCCTTGTTGATTTCTTTAAAGGGGCACCTTTCTGATTTTGTAATTCCCTTTATCAACAAATGGCTTATGTTATTTTCCTTATAGAATTTTTTTTTATGTGGTTTTAGGCATACTGTAGCTTAGTTTAGATTCTATAGCTTCCATATCTATGAACCATCCATTTCTGGTGTAGTTGTGAATGATTGTTTCTAGGTTTAACTGCGTCAGTATTCATCCATTGCAGACCTTCTGATCGCTTACACTCTGTGCATCTCTTCATCTGGTCACTGCTTCTCCTTTACCACAACACACAGACCTGCTACTTCATCACCGGCGTTTTAATTTCTTATGTATTTTTTTCATAGGTGTGTACATTCTATTACATAATGTAGATTATAAAATTATCTGTTGAAGTGATGTATGTTTAATTTGTGTCCATGAAGGAGTGTGTAGTAGGCATTCAACAAATGCTTAATGGTGAGTGAAATGCTTAATCTTGATACACACTTATTTTTAGTGAAAATTTTAGTTGTTAACATCTTACAAGGAGATATTATACTATGTAGGCTTATATTTTTGCAGTTGAAACTGAGGGACATTTTCCCCTTAGTAACCCACTTTTTATAAACCATTTGATTTACAGGCTCCCTGCAGTGGTAGGCAATGTGTCTTTATGGCTGATTATTGGCAGCTGATATGACTGTGTGTAACTGAGTATGTTCAAGAAAATGTATGTACCTTCAACCTTTAGGGCTCTTTCTATGTCCTGTGAAGGGGTAATAATTAGGTTTGCTTCTAAGTTGCACAGTTTACAGTTATCCCTTATGTCTAAGGATTCTAGCACATGGCTCTGAAAAACTGTTATGTAAGAAAGTTAGAGATGCCTGTAGACTCTGTAGGTCTGAATTAGACCGTTACAACTTGTTCTTATTAATTCTTTTGTAACCAGGGCCCCTGAATCTTCACTTTTGCTGCTTGTGTACTCTCAAAAGGTCAAATGCAGATACTGTAATTGGTTTCATTTATCTAATTTCTGACATAAAGACTTAGACAATGTTAATCCTATTGAAATATTACAAGTACTTTGAGTATTTTAATCTTATCTAATTTTGAGCTGAGGGGAGAGATGCACACAAGTGAAACAGCAAATAATCAGTGCTGTTGCAAGAGTAAATACATTTTGGAATGGATAATAGACAAGATAATATTTGACAAGATTGCATGCATTTATTGTAGATTCATTTCACTAGTTTTGTTGTTGTTTGTGTTTTCTTGTTGTGTTGACAGGGTTGCTTTAGACACTCTTGCTGCATTGCTAAAATCAAGTAAGTTTTTAAATACTAGAAATAATAGTAATTAAAATACTCTAAATATATATCTATGTTCAAGAAGCTAGAAATTAGATTTAGTGTATAGAGTTAAACTAGTTTCTTGTAGTCAAAGTTATAGATATCATATTAGATTCATTTCTCAGAAAAGTGATGCTTATATGACATTTACTTATGTTCTTTTAATGGCAAAGCTTTATGCTTATGTCAGTAAGTTAGAAATATGATAATGATGTGCTTGAATAAATTATCCAAATGGATGGAATAAACTCTAGCTCAATAAGCATGTCATTATAATGCATATCAGCTTCATATAACATAAATTAACATAGTGACTTTTATTAGAAATTTTGTTTTTACTATGTTCAAGTTTATACCATTTAAAAAGTGATATGATATAAATTTATAGTGGTGATAAATCCATCTGCACAGAGCTCACTCTGTCTTCAGAGCTGAAGCACGGGAGGAGATGTGTCTTCTGATGCTGTTGGAGAGCAAGTGCTACATGTGTTAAGGGTTTTCTCACCAACAGGCTCAGCATGTCTTTGAACATTTTCGTAGTATTCTCCCATATGATCAGTTGCTTAATTAACATTTAATCTTGACATTTAGTCTTAACATTTCTGCTGATGGCTTTTTATATGCCCCCTTTCCCCGTACATAACAGGCAGTTGGTCAGAAACTATCATCAGGGGTGGGTCACCTTGTGTACTAAGTTTCCATGGCTATATATTTTAATAGTAACATGATTAATTAAAAGTGTGATCTTGCTGGCACAGTGGCAAGCACCTGTTATCCCAGTAGGTGGGAGGCAGAGGCAGGGGGATTGATGGTAGGTTCAAGGCTAACTTGATCTACATAGTGAGTTTCAGGTCAGTCATGGCTACATAGTAAGATCCTGTCTTTAAAAAAAAGAGTAAAATTAAGTTTAAAAATACGTTTTTTGTTGTTTATCAGAATTCTCATTTACACTTTCACCCTTGGGATGGAATGGAAGGGTCTTAGTGGGGTAGCTGCTTTTATCTGTGATGTGGTAAACTGTAGATCAGGATCATACTCCATGAAGCAAAGCATCTGATGAGTACTTTGTATTTAATATCTCTTCAAATTACACTACACAACATAGAACACTTAATAATGCATAATAGTATTTAGTAGCAGGCTGCATAGTTTGAAATGGACCAGAGTATTTTGGAGCATCCTCTCTTATATTAAAACTTGCTTATTGTGGGGAAACCACTTACATTAGAGGATAAATTTGTTCTCTGAAATAAATGTGGTAAGGGAAGTGTGTATAGTATAGGAGTAATGAGTGTAATGCCCATTGCCCTTACTGGGTCGCACATCAGATGATGCAGTTTAATGGAAAACTTGAGGTTTTGTGCTTTAAGAGGGAAGGACAGACAGACTCCCAGCGAGTTTTGTACCATGAGTTTATAAATAAAACCCTTTTATTTATTTGTTTTAATTGTGCTCAGTGCAGATTGTAGATATCTCTCATCATTTTTTAAGGGCCAGTTCAGCACCTATGTTTGAATTATAATGAATTCTTTATTTGACATTTCATTTTAATATAAACATTTCCTCTAAGTATCATTTAGACTGTTGTAGATTACAGCAGAAACAAAGTTGTAAATATTGCGTGACCATAATATTTTTAACTAAGTCTTATTCATAGCTACTAAAGGCTTGTGCATTTCAGGTGGTGTAAACAAAAGTGTGTATTCACTTAAAATACTTTTTTGTTGTTCTTGTTGGTTTTGAGACAGTGTCTGATCTATCCCAGGCTGGCCTGAATTTGTGATGTAGAAAAGGATAACTTTGAACTTCTGGTCTTCCTGCCCCCACTTCCTGAGTGCTGAGATTACAGGTGTACACCAGCTTGCCCGGTTTATGTGGTGCTGGGGGCTGAACCCCAGGACTCTGTGCCTGATAGGCAAGCACTCTATCAACTGAGTTAGATCCCTAACCTAAAATGCAAGAATATTTTGTTGGTCAAAGCAAGCAATTGAACTGATAATATAAATAGCAACAGCCTCACAGAAAACTAGCTATTGTAGATCCAGTAGAGGGTCTTTTTTGTTTGGCTTTATTTTTCTCTCTTGTCTGCACAAGGTCTTGTTATAGTAGCCCAGGCAGGCAATCCTTCTGTTTCCACCACCCATGTGCTGATATCAGGCATGTACTACACATCCAGTTTACAATAGAGCTTTTAAAATTGCTCTCATAAGAAAACCACCTCCTCTGATGAGCACTTCTCTAATGTCAGAGTTATAATTCTGAAAGAGAATAACTCTGTATCTTAGTGTTACGTTTTAGTCTACTTGAGCATGTGTAGAAACTAATGGTCCTTCTAGGCAGTTAAAGTCAGTACCATCTTGGGGTCCATAACATAAGCCAAGGTTGCTTAGTGGGTAAACTTGAGGTTAAGAAGAGATTAGAGTTTGTTTGTAACTAAGCAACCACAGGTGGGTTGGTTCCCACTCCTCTACTCTTGCGGTCCTCATAGACTGTGTTGTTGCAGTGGCATTCCATGGCTGCTGTTTTAGTAGATGTGTTCTTTTGGGTAGTAATCTTAAGTGTAAGGAAGTCAGTTCAAATTTATGGGTTTCTTATAGTTGTATTCCATTAAATTTTTGACCAATTTCTGAAAACCCATATTTTTTTAATGTTAAGATTTTAGTAACCAGAAAGAACTATTTTCTAATCACATACTATTTCTTACCTTTTATACAAAACAAGTTGTATTTTAAATTTTGTGTTTTAAGGAGTGGATATCTGCACAATTGTAGAATAACTAGAACAGTTAATTCCACTGGGAAGATAAATTTTATCAGTAATAAGAGCTATAATCCAGTGGGGTTAATTTTAATGGGAACACAGAGTTTGTCATGAAAATAAGCAAGAGTGACAATTGCTTTAACAAGTCATGTTTGCAGGTAGTCAGTAAAGGCTTTATGCTTCTGTCTTATGAAAAGGCCCACATATTATAAGTTTCAAAATAGATGGTGTTTTAAAGTCAGTATAACATTGAAAAATAATTACAGACCTTGTCCTAGTAAACACACTCCTTTTTCCATTGTGGTCTTTGCCTTCACCTCGTGGGTGCTGGGATTACAGGTGAGCACCACCAAGCCTAGCTAGGAAGGAGAGTTCAGTTGTAAGTCATGGTCAAATAATTAGGCAAGAATGTGTCTAGAAACTGTAATGATTTCTGGTACTTGCCATAATTATTTTGTTAGAAAATTATTAAATATGTGGTTGTTGTTTTTCAAAGGCTGGGAATTTATCACAATACTGATATTCTTTTTGTTTACTTCATTTTAAAACTTTCTTCTGTCATTTATAAAATAATCTTTCCCAATTTTCTCTTGTTAAAGAAACAAATGCCAGGAGAGCCGTAGACAGAGGATATGTTCAAGTACTTTTAACAATTTATGTAGATTGGCACCGCCATGATAATCGGCATAGAAACATGCTCATTCGGAAAGGAATTTTACAGAGCTTAAAAAGTGTCACAAACATCAAGTTGGGAAGAAAAGCATTCATTGATGCGAACGGGATGAAAATTCTGTACAACACCTCACAAGTAAGCTACTTGGCTTTCATGATTCTGCTTATGTACTAATGATATTGTTTTGGTTCTTAAGAAAAATGAATTAATATGCAAGTACTCAGGAAAGTGTACATATATTTTAAAATTTTGTAAAACCAATAATCCCGATTGATTTTCACATGTGACCTCAGAGATGATTGGAGAGAGTGGCAAGTGCTTATGTCTAGAGCATTAGTCTCACACTGTAGCTGTATAAACCGTGTACACAGCAGGAGGGGTTCTGTATAGCTGTGTTGCATGGGTGACTAGAATGACTTAGTTTTGTATGCTCTCACAAGGTATCTGAGGATTCTCTAGCTGGTGGAGCAGTTCTGCTGTAAACATTGGGAATGTCTTCCTGCTCGATAGGGCTGTGGCCCTGGGCATTTTTCAATATAGAGGGTATATAGAGAGATGGAAACTACAAGTAGCCTGCTAGCTTTGCTAGGCATCTTACCTGCCCACATCCCTGACAGCATGCCAGTGACCCTGTAGAAGACTGTCATTAGAGGGGATAATGGCACTGTCCTTTGAAATGACCGGACACTTGTTCAAGTTGCATTCTCGTGGTTTTCCACACAATAAACAACCTTTCTGCATGACAGTGGTTAAGGTATCTAAACACTTGATGTGTTTATTCTGAGTGTTTCCATTTTTCTAGAACAATCCTATATACCTGTTTTTACTATCTGAATATACACAGTGATAGGTATTTGATGTATGGTGATGAACTAGGTAGTTTAACATTTTTTGGACCTTAGTTTGTCTGTTTAACTAAGTCAGTTGTGTGTTGAAGATTATGTGGAATGTCAAAGTACCACTGAGAGGGAAGTTGTCACTGACAGTATTGTTGAATCACCTGTAATTGACCTTGGCCAACCAGCCAGACTCCAGGCGTTGAAGTGAGGTCTGCTCCCACTGTTGTCTGTTTTACAGGAGACCGAGGACCTGGTTTTGAGAGGTGTTTTATTCTTACACCTTGGTTCTCAGTACTTCTTATTCTTCTTCATGCCCTAGACCAAGTGTCTGAGTGACTCCACTTGGTGATTTTCATTGTCCAAGATAAGTTGTAACACAAATTTTAAAAGGTCTTATGATAAAAAACCCACAGCCAGATATTGGGTAAATGCTGAAAGATCAGAGAGACAAAGGAACAAGCCACAGCCACTTCTCACCTCACCTACTCCATGAATCCTCTGTTTGAATGTTTTTGTGTCCTCACCTGAAAGACTCCAGCCAAAAATGCCTCTAGCTGAAAGGGACGCTTCTGCTGAAAAGCCTTTAGTTCCTGTCGCCTGATGCCTTATATACCTTTCTCCATCCAGCCATCTTAGTGCTAGGATTAAAGGTGTGTGCCACCACTGCCCGGCTCTATTTCTCTCCTAGAATGAGTCAATCTCATGTAGTCCAGGGTGGCTTTGAACTCACAGAGATCCAGACAGATCTCTGCCTCCTGAGTGCTAGGATTAAAGGTGTGTGCCACCACGGCCTGGCCTCTATGTTTAATCTAGTGGCTTGTTCTGTCCTCTGATCTTCAGGTAAATTTTATTAGGTTACACAATATATCACCACAGTAATTGCTAAATTTGCCTAGTGAACATTTAAGGAAAAAATCCTACTGAACCAGTCACATGTGACTCCTGAGTACAGATACTTCTGGAGAGTAAAGCCGTTTTATAACTGCATTGTGTTATAGTATTTGTGTGATGTTTGTGGCTAGGCAATCTTTATTATGTTACATTTTGAATATGGTGGTGTTGAACTGTTCATTGACTCACATATCCTTGTTTGAACAGGAATGCTTGGCGGTCAGGACTCTTGATCCTCTTGTCAACACCTCTAGTCTGATAATGAGGAAGTGTTTCCCCAAAAACCGATTGCCGCTCCCAACCATCAAAAGTTCTTTCCACTTCCAGTTGCCAGTGATCCCTGTGACTGGACCCGTGGCTCAGCTCTACAGCTTACCCCCTGAAGGTAGGGGACCTTAGGCTGCTATGGGACTCTGTTGACATTGTTATTGTAAGCTTGTGTCTGAGTTCCTCAACAAAAGGCCTTAATGTGAACATGATAAATCCTCACATTTACTTTAGTCAATAAGCATTTCTTTAGATGTAAGAAACTGAAGTCTAATACATACATACACTGCATGTATGTCAAAGTAAGTTATGAAAACACACAAGAAATTAGTCAACAATCAGTATAAATTTTCAGAGTGTAAGATGGTGACATCAGATGCTTAGGTCATTCATTATGTTTAGGATTGCCTGTGTAGCTTTAAAACAATTTATTGCATATGATGATGATGGTGATGATGATGACGTGGGTGTGTATGTGTATTGTGTGTGCCTCATGCATTTATGCTCATGCTACAGTGAGCATGGGAAGGTTAGAGGACAGCCTTCAGAAGTTGGTTCTTTCCTTTCACCACATGGGTCCCAGGGACCAAACTTATACCATCAGGCTTGCTGGCAGTCCCACTGAGTCCCATTGCTGGCCTGATTTTTTCCTCCCATAAGTTAAAAACCTCATCACCAAAATTAGCAAGAATTGAACAAATAACTTACTTAGAAGAAGAGTGAAATTATTTGAGGTAGGCTGTTTTTCATTTTTAGTGTAACACTGTAGGTATGTAGTAAGGAAGAATTTAAACTTTGCAATGTGATTTTTGTTTTTAGTGGTATCTACTAAAATGGAAAAGAGAAGTAGTTATGGATTGTAGAGTTAAAAAGGGCCAAGGAAAAATTGCCCTGCCCCTGGCTAGACCTGAGACCTGCGCCAAAGAAAAACCCTGATCCTGACTTGACCTCAGGACCAGGGCTTGAAATTGCACCAATCCCTGAGCTTGCCCAGAGTCACATCACCTATCCCCAAACACAGAATCCCACCAATCCATGAAGTCCCTGAGCACAAAATGCCACCAATCCCTGAGCTTGCCCCAGAATCACACCACAAAAATCCACTGATCCCGCCTGGCGGTGATGGTGCACACCTTTAATCCCAGCACTCGGGAGGCAGAGGCAGGTGGATCTCTGTGAGTTTGAGGCCAGCCTGGTCTACAAAGCGAGATCCAGGAAAGGTACAAAGCTACACAGAGAAACCCTGTCTTGATCCCCGATGAAATCCTACATAAGGTCTGTACCTTGTTCAGTTTGCTGCTGTTGCTCACCTGAGGCAGCCACCCTCCTGGATTCTTCCTTCTGGATAAATCTCTTGAGTTAGGTTTGTTTTGGTGTGACATTTTTGCCAGAGTGGAGCTCAGATGTAGAGAACTGTAACACTTTTGCAGGGGAAGCTTTCCCCTAACAGAACAGAGTTGTTACATTCCCAGGATCTGAGCAGAGCTATAACACTTGTGGACCTGGGCAGAGCAGAGAGAGAGAGCAGAGAGAGTAGAGAGAGCAGACAGCAGAGAACTTTGCTGGGCAAACCCTCTTCCCCTGCTGGAGCAGAGCTGTTAGGCTTGCATTGGGGAAACCTTTCTCTCGAGCAGAGCTGTAAGCTGCTGTGCTTATGGTGACTTCGTGGTATTCCTTGGCTCCTGACTGCCAGGATACCTTTCTATCCGAGCTGCAATGCTTACATGGATATTCATAGAATTTTGTTTTCTAATTATATCTTTGAAAAGGTTTTTTAAGATTTTTTTATTATTTACAAAATACTTAGCCGGGCGGTGGTGGCACATGCCTTTAATCCCAGCACTCGGGAGGCAGAGCCAGGAGGATCTCTGTGAGTTCGAGGCCAGCCTGGACTACCAAGTGAGTTTCAGGAAAGGCGCAAAACTACACAGAGAAACCCTGTCTCGAAAAACCGAAAAAAAAAAAAAAACTTGAAATAAATGTTTTAAAAGTTTTCAAGTAATCATTAGTTTTTAATCCTTAATATGGATTTATTAAATAAGGTATATTATTATTAATTTTTAAAAAAATATTGAAATATCTAAACACAGATTTAGTTGACATAAAATACTAAAGTGAATCATTTAGAAACTTCTTTCAAAAGTCAGGCTGTTAAAATAGCTTGTAGGTAATGGCATGTTATACCAAGCCTGACAAATTGAGTTCAATCCTCAGGACCCACATGGTGGAAAAAAGTGGACTCTGGTAAGTTATCCCCTGACCTCTACAGGAGTGTGTGTGTGTGTGTGTGTGTGTGTGTGTGTGTGTGTGTATTAAAATTAAAAAAAAAATACAAAGCTCAAAAGTCAACAAGATTGAGTCTAGAAAGTTCTGAGTAAGATAGCTGAGTGAAATAGTTTTATAATTCCTTCTTTCTGTTCTTTTGAAATTTCTCACAGACTTTGAAAGTGAGGACATTTGTAGGATTCTGACAGGCAGGCAAGAGGAGACTTTATGAAGCAGTTTCCCTGCTGTGGTAGAGGAAGGCCGAGTACCAGCACACTCTTCTCCCTCTCCAATGCAGTGTCTCTGGCTCCAGTGACGCCACTAGCATTTAGTTGGAGTTTTGGCCATCTTTCTTTCCTCTCTCTAAATGTAGGAGTATGGAGGTGTGCTCTGTAGGTGTTAAATGGTGGTTCTGGCTGGTGGAAGGCTGGGGAAGCTCTTCTATGATGCAACAGGAAGTAACAGCAGGGAGGAAGTAGAATACATTCTCAGAGTGATGTTTAGTCAGAGTCCAGATTAAGGGCTAGTGAGAGTTCACCTGCAGTGTAGTGAATTCACCAGGCATGGGAAAAAATGAGAAAGGTGATATTTTCTGTGGGATCCTTTTCTGTATGTTTCTCAGATTTGATGACTCACTAAACTAGAAATGTGTTGAGTTGTTAACTCACAAGCCTTCATTCAAATGGGACAGGAAGATTCTGGTAGACTCCTTGGCCTGTGGAGGATGTCCTTATTCTGTTTTCCATTGTGTTCTAGTGTGTCAGAATTATATTCTAGCCTTCCTTAGCTAACATGTGAGCTCCTCTGGAATAGGTCTGGACTGTTTCTTGGCCATAATATCAAAAAATTCTCTACTTTTGGGTGATTAGATGAATGTTGTCATTTTAGTCCATTTGCCAACTACCTGACTTAGTATGGACACCATAGAACTAGAGCTCCATCTCACAAGACTTGGACGTTAGATACATGTTGTATGCCTAGGCTTCCTCTCTTTTGGAGTGACTATAAAGTTGTTAGGGAGTTTCCACAACACTATGTCAGTATTGATAATTTGCTAGATATAGATTTGTGCTAGGACAGCTTACACCAGCCAGGAACACTGTGTACATTGTTTGTTATAAAGGATACAATTCAGGTACAGTCAGAAGGAAGTGCAGCATAGGATTCATGCTCTCTGCAAGCACATCCTCCTCCTAACATCTTGATGTGTTCACTACCCTGGAAGCTCTCTGAGCCACATCCTTTAGAAAGTTTATGGAGGTTTCATAAAATAGGCGTGATCGATTAAACCATTGATTGTTGATGACTATTTAGTTTGTAGGTCCTCCTTCCCTCCTCAGAGGCTGAGAAACAGGGTTGAAATTCCCAGCCCTTTGTTTAATCATGTAACCAGCCTCCATCTTGAAGCTACCTAGGGTCTTCTCAATAGAACAGAAGAAATTCCTGTCACCCAAGAAATCCCAAGGGATTTGGCAACTGTCATGACCCAGGGACAAAATGGAATAGATATCTATCACAACAGTACAGTTTTAACCCCTATTTTCTCTTTAGCATCCTTTATAAATTGTATGACGATCATAAGGGTACATTTATTATTTGCTGAGAGGGTAGAGCTAGACTCAGGACTTGCCTTCTTGAGTACTAAGTGCCAAAAGATAGTGAAGTACCATCTATGAAGATCTGAAGGAAAAAGTTCTGATCTGAGGTTTCTAAACCTTCACTAGCTTCCATCACGAAGGTGGTGTGTTCTTAGATATGTGGGTGTGGAGCTGTATATCTTATGTGCCCTTCCTTAAGTGATGAATGAAGTATTGATCCAGCCAGTCAAGTGATGAATTCAGATGTTGAGAATGCAGAGGGCCCCACAGAAGAAGAGTTGTGTTAAATGCTAGAACTTGCCCACTCTGTAATACCTAATAGTCACTGCATTATTATTATGATATAATAACCAGTTTTGGTACAAGGCTCATGTTACCATAAGCAGAGCCTCATACATGAACAAATAAATTTCATGTTGATAGATTTCCCAATATAATTCTTGCATTTTTAAAATGGTACTTGAGAAATGTACATTTTCATTTGTAGCATACTCAATAAGAGGTGTTCAGCTTGGCCCCACTGGCCCATAGGACCACACAGGCTGACATCAGAGACTGCCCCTGTGTCATTCTGGGTAAAACTTTGGGGGCCTTTGTTTTTCTTGAATAAACCCACCACTGCTATGTAAAAGCAAGGGAGTTTCAGAGATGAATAACAAACCTTTGAGAGATCTGACTGTGAAACATGAGCAAGCATGTCAGTTTCGATAGTAAATCTAAAGAGATAAAATATTCTTATTAAAGGCTGCTGTGGTAGGGCCTTTACTACCAGCACTTGAGAGGCAGAAGATAGGCAGATCTCTGCGTTTGATGCCGGCTAGGCCTACACAGTGGGTTTTGGGCCAGCTAGACCTACACAACGAGATACTGCCTCAAACAAAAAGTCAAAAGCAGCAACAACAAAATTGTATTAAAAGATCAGGACTCTTACATTGGGTGAAAGAGCAGGTACTTACTGGAGAGTTAAAGAAGTGGTGTAGAAAGCTTGACAGGAAACTAGAGAATGTGTGTAAGAAGCACTGTTTACACAGAGTATAGACCCAGAAGGAAGTGAGTGTGAGACAGGACAACCAAGGCGTCTTACCCATGCTAGACCACACAGATGCTGCACGACAGGGTGAAGTCAAAGCTGTGATTAGTGCAGTGGTCAGTAGATGAGTAAGTGTGCCCCTGAGTACCTGGCAAGGCGAACAGAGGAGATTCTGTAAGTCAGAGTCATGCTACAGAGAACACTCGTAATAACACATTTGAATATACAATTGAAATAGTATTTTAGGGACATATAATTGATTAAAACCATTTGAATATACAATTGAAATAGTATTTTAGGGACATATAATTGATTAAAACTGACTGGAATAATAAAAAACCTGAAATGGAGTATGTAGTCAAGTTTGTTTGGTGATATCAACTGTTGATGACGTCATAGATTAGTTCTCTCAACTTTCAAGGAATTTTCCCATGCTTTATTTTCCAGAGCATAGAAACAAAAGAAAAGTGTAGAAGCTAGCATGACGCTGAAAGCAAAACCTGGTAAGGATTACCGGAAACAACACGCAGCTAAATCTCACTAATCAAAACAAATGTACAAATTCTACAGTCGAGCAGATTGAGCTGGGCAGTGTTTATTTGTGTAAGACATCCTGATTATTTTTAAGAAATGAAGTTCACTGTAATATTAAAATGGGTGAAATTTATTATTAGTAGGTCAAAAGATGGAAACCAGTTATTTCAGTAAATACCATGAAGAGATTCCAGATAAAATTTATTAAGGAAATTGGCAGTTATTTTGAACTATGTTACAAACTGTTATCTATACTATACCTCAGAAATAGTAATGAGATATTAAAAGATATATCTCAAATCATATAGGTCAGTAAGATAGAAAAAGAAAGGACTTACCCATTGAGAATGCTAGATGGCTGAATTGTGGAGGATATCATTACAGTGTTACCCAGGAGACCATGACAAACAAAAAATTTAATAGCACCAGTTACAAGGAAAATGAATAAAATATAGTTGTTTTCCTAATCTGTGTCTGCATATTTATAGAATCAAACCTTTATACACACTGCATATCACATACCTAAATGGCTAAAAAAATGTGTCTCTGTACACAGATATATCCACACCTGTAGGCTAGCCTTAGAGATTAACTTTAGAGATCTAACACATACAACACATAGAGGGGAAGTGGACCTCATTTATAGGCATAGTGAAAACAATTCCTTTGTTTATAGTTTCTAGGTCCTTTTCCTTTAATGGGATGCCCTGTATTTGCCTTACTAGCTATCAGAGAGATATGTAGAAGTGTTTCCTGCATTGCTGTGATTAATATATACAAGAAAGCAGATGACAGCTTTGATTTATAGCCACTGGTTTTGATTGTATGCTGAAGGTATAGTTAATTTGTAGCAATGCAATGCTGTAAGAAAGTGTCAGGTGTTCTGAAGCTGTATGATGTTTCACATTTGGAGCATGTACCTAAAGGAAAGTACTTGGAACATTTGGCCTCAAATTAAAAACATTTTTTTTCTCCATTTCTAAACTCTGATTTCCCACACTATTGAATCAGGTATTTTTTCTGTTTGCAATAGACTTTTGTTGAATTTAGTGCATTTTTTCCTGAAGAGTGTTTTGGGTTGAAAGTGCCATTACTCTGTGAGCAGCCTGGTGCTTTTCTCTTGTCTCCCCATAGTTATGCTCCATGTCCTTTTACATGGAACTCCCTGAGTATTTCTTCAAGCTGTTTTCTTTCATTCCCTTAGTCTTGCATTGGCCTAGCACTTAACTGTCCCTCTTGACTGGTCTTACTTCACTCATATGTTCTCCTCTTATACCTGCCAGAAATGCAAGTTGTATCAAGCCATTCTTTTCTTGGAAATCCTGTGGTTATGTTCTGTAGGTTTAAGATCTAGCTGACTTGGCAGACTGTGTAATATCTATCCTATCTCACTTATTTAAATTTCTCAAGCACACTATACATGTCAATCATATTAATTTTCCCAATATCCTATCATCTCATTTTCTTATACTTCCTCTTAGAGCCTCACTGTCCAGCCCCTAGGTCTCCTTCAGGTGCTGCCCTGTGAAGTGCTCAATGGTCATCCCTTGGCCCTGTGTCATTTGTGGCCATTTACTATCTGTCTGGCATTCCTCCTTTAGGGCAGTAATTATATCTTTAAAAAGTTCCTAGTTTGTAACACAGTACGTGGGCACATGGTCAGTGAAATAAATAATTGCACAGGAATGAAGTGAATTATTGAGGTTTATCAAAATGCTTCATTTGGGCTACTGTAACATAGGACATTATTAGATTTGTAACTGAGAGCATCAGTAGTAAAACAATTAATTTAATTTGTAGTTTTCCTAGTTTTAGGGCCCTTCCACATGCTTTTTCTGGTTTCTAGGGTTGAGATATCTTTATAGATATTTTTAGTAAGGAATTTAAAAAGGAAACGAAAAAAAACTAATATATGAAATTGTTGAAGAACAAAAAAAGAAAGAAAAAATTTCTGTTGAGTAGATGAACGTGATAATTCAATTATAAAAAGAAATCTCCTTATCTTTCCTTGGTGATTGGATACTTTATGCACACTGTGCACGTCTGCCTCGTAGGTACTTGCCTCTGACTGACAGTGTGTTTTGTATCACAGTGGATGACGTGGTCGATGAAAGTGACGACAATGACGACGCTGATTTAGAAGCTGAAAATGAAGTAGAAAATGAAGATGACCTAGATCAGAATTTTAAGGTTGGTACATTTTTATCATTAGTAAATTTTATAAATTGTATATCTCAGCTTTAAAATAGATTTGTTGATGCATAAGATTAGAGATAAAATGTTTTATCCACGTCTTTCTCTTGTAGCTGAATCTATTGGTCTGAAAATAGCCCTAATGTACTGTCCATTGGCCCTGAAGAAAAAGATTTTAAGCTTTCTGACTTAGCTTTGGAAACATAAGGGCTCCAAGGAGAGCGGCTTGTGACTGCTGTGGCAGTTTATTCCTTCTGTCAGCAATCTTGTGGGGCTGTAAAAATACTAGGAATGTAGTCTGTAGCAGAGGTGCTTAGTGATGATGTCACAATTCTTAAGAGGAAATGTAAAGCTGTTGCTTTATACCTGAGTTGTTTAGCTGAAGAGGCTGGTGTGCTCTCAGTGTTGTGCTGTGTCTGGAAGCTCAGAGACTCTTCTCTATTTTATTTGGCGTAGAAGGGCCATTACAGCATCTTTAGAAAAGTGGTCTCTTTGATTGTCAACTGCTTAACTTGTTTACTGCCTGCTTTAAGGGGAGAGCTAATTTGACCTCTGCCTGATTCTGTCTCTTCTTTCTTTCTTTTTTTTTTCTTATATTGGACTATTGGGGTTGGAGAGATGGTGGCTCAGCAGTTAAGAGTACTTGCTGCTCTTGCAGAGAACTAGATTTAATGCTTAGCATCCACTTGGCAGTTTATAAAAGTTTATAACTCCAGCTCCATGGGACTTGACTATAGACGAATTTCTAAAAGGTCTTGTTAATAAAAACAAACCTGGAGCCAGGTATTGGGGTGAACGCTGAAAGATCAGAGAAACAGAACAAGCCACAGCCAGCCTCACCTCTCCAGTTCCTCAGCTGATCTTGTTTCCTCAGACTGAAAGCTTCTGAGTCCTCACCCGAATGGATCTCAGCTGAACTGCTGCCAAAAACCTAAAAGCTTAACCAGGCTCTAGTTCCTGGTCCTCATGCCTTGTATACCTTTCTGCTTCCTGCCATCACTTCCTGGGATTAAAGGTGTGTGTCACCACACCTGGCTCTGTTCCTAGTGTGGCCTTGAACTCTCAGAGATCCACACGGATCTCTGCCTCCCAAGTGACAGAATTAAAGACCACCATTTTCTTGCCTCTATGTCTGTCTAGTGGCTGTTCTGTTCTCTGACCCCAGATAAGTTTATTAAGGTGCACAATATATTGGGGAACACAATATCACCACACTTGACACTGCTTATGGCCTCTGCAAGTACCAAACACACGTGCAGAGCACATATATGCAGGCAGACAAAACATTCATGTACATGAATTAAAAATAAATAATACTTAAAAAAATCTTGGAATACTACCTTAAAATTGGGGCACACTATGTATTTGACTTTCCAAAGTCTAGAATACTGGGAGATGTATCTTAATAATAATACAGGACTAATTTCATTACCACCAATGTGATCACAAAGAAAAATAGGGCAGGCATTGAGGTAGTCATTGATGTTAAGATAATTCTTGGGTAACTGGGTGTTTGGACCTAACATAAGCAATGGAATTGGTAGGTTCCCAGATGTGAGTTACATTCTCAGGGAAGAGGAGGGGTGTTGAAATTCATTTGGGAGTTTTTGCAGGGTACTTTGGGGTAGTGAAATTCATGAGATTAGCATATGAATTTCTATCAAGATTTTAGTAATAAACATTGCAGCATATTTGGTATAGTTAATTCTTTACTTCTCATAGTTCTAATGAAAAATACCTGTGATGGTCAAGAGTATAAAGATTAGGGAGTTAGGAGAATTGGTACAGTGACTGATTTGGCTGCTAGAAAACTGTGTGCATGTATGCACATGCTCAAAAACAGGTATTTGAGAGTGGGTTAGATATGTCAGCTCCTTTGGACCTTCACCCATGAACATACACCATAACTGCAGGACAGCTATTGATGTTCTACCAACTTGCTATCTGTGTCCAGTTTATCATTTGCTCTTGTAATGTCCTTTATGAGGATTTTTACCCTCTCCGCTGCAGGATCTAGCCTCATATACTTCGTTTCCTTGTCTCTCACTTGGTCTATTCATCTGAAACATTTCCATAAATTTCTTTGTACTTGACATGGGTGTCTTTGAAAAACAATTGTTGGTGTCTATTTTCCACTGAGTTAACAGGGACAGTGATTGCTCACATATTGTCTACTTCACCTTAACAAAACATTTATGATTATGAATGAAAAAATAGTATTTATTGAACACTTAACTGTGTGCCAATCCAAGCTCTTCATGCACTAAAACCATCAAATCCTCACAGCAGTGTAGACAAGGCACAGAAGGCTATGTATGCAAGGGGCCAGGCAGTGTGGTGGAGGATCCACCTCCTCACCACTGCTCTGTGTTTTACTGAAATGTCCTCTTCAAGTGCATGATGCATTGGCCAAGACTTCGAGCTGCAGCTGCATGAGCCTCTGCCTCTGACTTAAGTTGGCTATTACCTTTGGGCAGTCTCAGCTTTGCTCGCCTCTAGGGAGGATCCACAGGGTCTTAGAGAATGGCTGTGCTGCAGTGGGAAACCTGGGACTGCTCTGTTGTGGTTGGTGGTTGGCTTCCAGACCGCCTTTCCTCACCAGCATGAGTCCTTTTTTTTTTTTTTTTTTTTTTTCTGCAGAGATTTTAGTCCAGATTCTTTAGGTTCTAAACAACTCACCTGCAAGTTGCCATAAAGGTCAACACACACTTTCCCTTTCTAATGCTAGAGTGGTTGTTCCTAACAATGAGCCATATGCCTCTGTGCAGTCCTGGCTGTCCTGGAACTCAGAGATCCACCTGCCTCTGCCACCCAAGTGCTAGGATTAAAGGCGTGTGCCCTGCAAGAAAAAAAAACTTTGTATTTTTTCCTTCAGATGATTACATGTTCATCAAGAAAATTAATACATTATTTGTTCATAGATAAAAACTTAAATGAAATTATATACTCACAGAGTAATAATTACATGTTAGTGATAATATGCAAATAAAACAAATGTCTTATTAATAGGAATTACAAAATTTTATTTATTGATTATATAAATAAAAGCGAATTCCCAAATACAAAATGTTGAGAAATATCATATATTTTTTCCTTAAGATTACTAGTTTATATATAGTTAGGTACTATATATGAAGGATTTAAGCATAATAAAATAAATTTGCTTTAGGGTTGAAGTGAAGTAGTTTATGACGACAATATGATAAATAGGAAATTAAAAATGAGGCCCACTTGAAAATTAGTAACTGGTCTTTCTATGCCTTCTTACCCATCTGTGAAAGTTATGAGTTTGTGAGAGGTAAGCTGTTAAGGATCTTAGAGGGTACTGTGGGTCCCAGGTGAACTAACACTTGCCCTCCTGTCATGAGGCACATCAGCTCTTTAAAGAGCTTAAAGAGGACAGCCAGGGTTACATAGTGAGACTCAAAAATACAAGATAAAGAATTTAGGGACAAAATTGATGACATGTCTTTTTTGTCTGAGGACATAGTTGGGATTTACCCTCCCCCGCCTTTCTTTTTCCTTAAAGGCACATTTTGGGCACTTTTACCACTTCTTATTCTTCTCCTGGCCCTGAAAAAAAAAAAAGAAAAAGAAAAGAAAAAGTGTGTAAAGGTTTTTATCATGGAGTATGAGTGCAGGTGGTAAACATCACACTGGCTATAATGTATGCTTTGGAACCTCTCTAACTAGTTTTATATTCCAGGTTGTCTAATTGTAAGCTCCTTAACATTTGGTGCACATCACTCCCCATCCTCAGTCAGATGGTGGAGATAAAATAAGCATCTCTACTTTATAGTGTTGTATAGAATGACTTAGATAAGAGAGTTAGTGCATGCCAGCGAATGTTAGCTACTTTGTTACCATTTTTGTTCTGTATAAATGTTTTCAATTTAATTTTCTTGAGTTTTACTTTACAGCAGAGTGATAGGGACACTGAAGAGAGCATATGTGATCTTTATTTTTTCTATTTTTATTTTTATTTTTTTCGTCTTGACGAGTCTGAAAACTCTGTTACATTAAAATTAACCATGACCAAACAACAAAATCAGCACCAATGATAATCTCCAACTAATTAAAAGAACTGATTTACAATTAAATTGAATATGAACTTTATTAGTAATTATTTACTAATCGTAAGTAATAATATTTTGGAACATTTCATATAAAGTATATTCTCTAACGTTTTTGTGTTTTTATACTAATGACATGTTTTATTATTTCAGAATGATGATATTGAAACAGATATTAACAAATTAAAACCACAGCAAGTGCCAGGACGAACAATAGAAGAACTGAAAATGTATGAACACCTCTTTCCTGAGCTTGTTGATGATTTTCAGGTATAAATAAAAAGTTCATTTTTTCTCCTTTATGGACGTAATTGCCATTTTTCATTTCTGAAAAAAATGGCATCCGTCCTGCTTTACTGGATGATATGGGACCGTTATATTGACATTTTGAGCTGAGTTGATGACCTGTAAGAAGAGAGAGCATTGGGCTAGTTTTTACATTTTATAATCACTTCGGTTCATCACTTTGACTTGCTTTTTAAAATTTTGTCTTATATTCTGAAAATGGCATTATAAAAGCACACCGTAGTCTTCCTTGTGTTAGTAGTGCTGAGGAGTTGTGCAGCTCTACCCTTCCCTTGGTAGTTCCTGTATAACACAGCAGCAGTCAGGACAGAGCGGGCAGCCTGCCACCCCGACAGTGCAGTTTGTTATTATTAGCATTTCTTATTCTCATTTACTGTGACAGAGTAATTCAGCTGGGGTTATACAACACACCATGTTGACTGAATTGTTGGCAGTTAGTAGATGTAGTTTTTTGTTCTCTCTGTTTTGACTGTGCTGGGTTCTTAAGTCTGATTTTAAAGTGTCTAAGTTTGGCTGGGCATGGTGGCATGCACCTTTAATCTCAGCACCAGGAAAACAGAGCCAAGTAGATCTCAGTGAGTTCAGAGGCCAGCTTGGTTTACACAGTGAACTCAAGGCCAGAAAGTATGTGTTTGGGCTAGCTAACCTCTAAGACGAGTAGCTTTTGCTATAAATGTTGTTGCTCTCCAAATCCCATATTCTTAATTACAGTTGATTAAAGACAGATTACAGTGAGTTTATATATGAGACATAAATGAGAAATATTTGCCAGTTTTTCTTTTGTCTTTGGGAGTAAACTTAGGAGCCTTGGAGTACAGTGAAAGATAACTGTAGATGTAACCAACAGTCTTATAAAATAAGAAACACAGAGCCAATTCAGAGAAGAAAGCCAAGAGGTCAGAGCTAAGAGCCTCACCCTTCCTGATTCAGAGATCCTCTCCAGCCAAGAGAGCTCTCCGAAAAAGACCTACTTCCTGTGTGTATGTCTTTAAAGTCTTCCTGTTCTGCCTTCTCATTGGTTGTAAACCCAAACATGTGACTGCCTCGTCACTGCCTGAATGTACCGCCCTCCAGGTCCTTAAAGGCGTGCGCCACCGCCGCCACGCACTTGCTATGGCTCTAATAGCTCTGACCCCCAGACAACTTTATTTATTAACATACAATTAAAATCACATTTCAGTACAAGTAAAATACCACCACAGATAACCTCATATAAGAATGTCTCCTCATTCCTTGTCCTTCTTGTAGGTTTGAAGCTCATTGGAACTTTGAAACTGAGAGTAGAAGGAGGTCAGGAGTCAGGGAGAAAGGAGTTGGGGTGAGCAGGGGAGGTCAACTGGGAAGCAGTGAGGGAAGGAGAGGGAGCTAGGAAGAGCATTTGGGGAAGAATATAGAGTGGGTAAGTTTTTCTTCCATTTAACCTAGAACAGCTGTTGCGTTACTCTTTTTTAATGTATTTGGTTTCACTTGAACCATTTGAAGATGAATACTTTCTAAATCAAAGCAGTCAAGTAATATTATAGTGGTTTTGGGTAGGAATTGATTAGCATATAATGACTTAACCTATTTTCCTATAGTTATATGCATATAGGGATATATAATGCTATACAAGTATAGCTTTGGTGTGGGAGTACAGTAGAGTAATTTTATAATTTTTATAATGGGTGTCAGGTTAGGATTTAGATCAGGGGGTCTCATCCTGTGGGTTGCAACTTCTTCGGGGGTCAAACGACCCTTTCACAGGGGTTGCATATCAGATATCCTGCATATCAGGTATTTACATTACAGTTCCTAACAGTAGAAAATTTCAGTTAGGAAGTAGCAAGGAAATAATATTATGGTTGGGGTCACCACAACATGAGCAACTGTATTAAAGGGTCACAGCATTAGGAAGGTTGAGAACCACTGATTTAGATTTTCCAAGCCACTTCTCCTTTCCAAATTGTGATAAACATCTGTATTTAGATTCCTATGTCCTAATCTTAGTTTACCACCTAGCTAGGCTTGATGGGCTCCTGTATAGCCTCCTATGATGTAACAATGTAAACGGGTGGCCAGCTTGTTCTTGGTTATTTCTTGAGCATGTTTGGTTCTAATTTGAGTCTGAGTTAAATGTAGCAAGTAAAGACATATCTATCTGAGAGTCAGAGCTCCTGAACTATGCTACTTCAGGTAAGTAAGGTAATATGTACTTATTAGTATGTTGTATATTTTGCCATTAAGTTATAGGTTGTTAATTATTTTAGTCCTATATGTTAGGGAAATAGCACTTTGTTTTTATTTACATAACTGGATTTATTGCCAAGAGTTGTTCTTGTACTTGATTGTCTTTCTCATTTTAAGTTTCAGAGTTTGAAATATATGCCTGAATAGTAAGAAGAAATATTTAATGATATATTATTGAGGATTATAAAAGTTTATTGATTCTCTTAATAGTGTTTGAAAGAATCTTATTCAACCATCATTGAATCAATTCCTGGCATATCATATGACATTAAGAATATGTGAAATTAGTTGCTTTCAGTATTAACCATTGAAGTCTATGACAGTTAGATGTGTCTGCATCCTGACCAATATCCGCTTTGTTCCCAGATGTGTAAACCTTGCTTATTCAGTTGCTGGGTGGAAGTGAAATGAATGTCATTTGTAGGCAGGGCAGAAGAGGATTGAACTCTGGTTCTCTTGCCCGCTAAACAGGCATTTTGTTGTTGCGCTGTCTCCTAGCCTTTGTTTGTTTGTTTATTTAACGTGTATGAGTGTTTTGCCTGCTTGTTTGTTACGTGCACCGTATGCATGTCTGGAGCCCATGGAGATCAGAAAAAGATGTTAGGTTTCTGAAGGAGCATGTGAAACAAATATGATCTTACTTTGATTAGCATATTTTAATACTGACAGATAACAGATTAAACTTATTTTTTCTTAAACAGGACTATGAATTAATCTCTAAAGAACCCAAACCTTTTGTGTTTGAGGGGAAAGTTCGAGGCCCTATTGTTGTTCCTACAGCTGGAGAGGAAGCATCTGGGAATTCAGGTAGTGTAAAGAAAGGAGCTGTAATGAAGGAGAAAGTGTCTCCTAAGGGAGAAGAAGCCAAGGACGAAGTCAAAGGCAGTGACAGGACACTGCCACAGCAGCTGGGTGGTCAGAACAGAACTGCTTCTTCAGTTCACACATTCAGCAGTGACATTGTGAAGGCTTTAGACCGAATCACATTGCAGAATATTCCTTCACAAGTAGCCCAAGGCTTGACTGCAGGAATAAGGAAGGACTGTGGTCTCCCTCTCACTGTCCTCTCATGCACGAAAGCATGTCCACATGTGGCAACGTGTGGAAGTACTCTCTTTGAAGGGCGGACAGTACAGCTTGGGAAACTGTGTTGTACTGGAGTTGAAACTGAGGATGATGACGACAGTGAGTCCAACTCATCAGTAGAACAGCCCGCCTCTGTTGATATCTCCGATGGACCAACACTCCACGACTCAGACCTCTACATTGAGATTGTGAAAAATACCAAGTCTGTTCCAGAATATTCAGAGGTGGCTTATCCTGATTATTTTGGTCACATTCCACCTCCATTCAAAGAGCCTATTTTAGAAAGGCCTTATGGTGTACAGAGGTGAGTTGCAGACTTCTTCCTCCTCCTAAGTAAGACCATTGTCAAAATGTAAGGCATACTTAAAAATTCTATTTGGGGTCTCTAGGAAAATGTTACTGTGAATTAAAGGTACACTGATAGGATGCTTTGGTTGCTTTGAAATTGTCCCTGTTGATAGTTGTGTCTGGAGAATGATCTATGATTGCTATACTTTGGATTTTGAGTAAGTAAGTTCATTAGGTGTATAGCAAGGACAAACACATAGCAAGTAGCAGAAAGATAATAGAACATCAAATCAGGCATTTAGAAATCCAACAGAAATGGCCAGAGAAGCCCTGTTGAAACAGTGAGCTGTAGGACCAGTTTAGAGTCCCAGGTAGTGTCCTCCTTCTGGTGACTGCAGGCCTTTTATAGTCTGGGGTAAAGAGTAGAGGCCTGTTGGAAATATTCCCCCTACCGCTGTTCTCAAGTGTGCAGTTTTTACTACGCTTGAGCTGTTTGCTAGTTTCCTTTCTTCTTGTCACAGGGCCAGGGTATCAGCCTGCTCCAGGACAGGGCATCTCTGAGGAAACTTGAGCTAAACATGCTTGAGCCTGAGACAAGGGGCCTACTTACCTTCTTTCTCTTGTCAGTTCTCAACAAGTGCAAAGAGCACATAATATAGGCTTAGTTTATTTTGTAAGCGTATTACTTATTTAAATGAAAGAATAATAGGAACCTGATACAATGTAGAAATTTGGTTTAGATTGCACCTAAGAATTTGAAAGATTATTTAATGATGTTTGAATAAATACTATCTTAGCAGTATTTAGTAATTTTTTATTCATACTTGGTTTAGACATGATTTTAAAATAGGCTATAGATGAAGCAATAAGGATGCATTATTTTGTTTGAAAATGTAGATGGAAATAAAGAGTGTGAGAATTTGGTATTCATAAAGGCACCAAGTGAAGTGAGTTTTAGTGTGCCAAAAAAAAAAAACCATAGAAATTGTTGGTAGCACCAGCCAGTGTATACTCAGCACATTAAAAAAAAAAAAAACCTGTGTAAAATCTGTTTAGTGTGTCTGAACTGTTTTGGGTGACTTTTAAAAAATGATGTCTCATCAGTTTTTGATACACTCTTATTGCAAGTATGACATACACTGAAAAGGAGGCCTTGCTGTCTGCCTCTGAGCATCCTAGAGTACAAGTGTCTTTAGCCACAGCTGTGCATTTTACCTGTAGCATCTAGTACCACTTAATGCTTCACTTGACAACTGAGTGATTTTCCTCCTCTAGTGACAGAATTGAGTGATTGTGACAGAAATCCTGTGGCTTTCAAAGCCTAAAATATGCACTGTCCTTTCCTTTATAGGAAATATTTGCTGACCCTATAGCTAGGTAGTCTTAAGGCTTGAAAGTTTTACATTCATGTCAGAAAAGTCAGATGTGGTTATCTACCAGCTGTTTATAAAGCTCCCAGAAATGCTCGCTTCCTGAAGTGCACTGAAGATGTTGGCTTCAGTGTGCTCATGTCAGCTGCCTCCTCTCTGTCAACCTGTTTAGAGCAAGTGATAGATGTTCTGTGGGTCGTTTGCCAATGTCGTTCCCTGTCGGAATCTAGTAACATTACAAAGGAAAGGTATCAAATTAATTAATGCTTTGTCACTTTCAGAAAAAAAAAAGCAACCCATTCCTTTAAAATTACTTAGTAAGTTAGGCATGATGACACATGCCTGTGTGGTCCCAGCCACTTGGGAGGCTGAGCCAGGCTAGCTGTGGCAGCATAGTGAAACCCATACTTAAAAAATTATCCTGTGGAATGCTTTAGTGTTATTTGGAGTTCTCTTGTATTGTTACAGCCTTTGTAGTGTGTAATTACTGATTCTAATTTTTTTAAAAATAAAATTCAGTATAGAATAAATAAATTCTGTTGAAAAGTCTCTGACCCAATTGCAAAAGAAAAAGTCTAAGATTCATATGGATATCTGCTCAATGTAGATGATAAAGTAACAGTACAATCACAAATGGTCTATTTATCATTTCATTTTATCAGACAATGCAACAGCTATGAGTCCTCAGGCAGTCTGCTTCCTTCTTCCTGTGAGGCCTTACTGTCCTCTCCCGTGTCCTCTCCCGCTGTTCCTCCCGGTCTCCTCCTCAGGCTCAGGGGACATTGTGGAAAAGGAGGCAGACAGTGGGTAGGAAGCAGGACTTCCAGATGTCATCTGGGCAAGACACAGCTCAGCTATTTGCTCCTGATAGATTTAGAGAGTGGACAACATCACCTTCAGTCGTGTACCCACTACTGACCCAGCAGGCTCCAGTGGACACTTCAATCCAATAGTTATATAGATGGTCTTGGTTAAACTAACTGGGTCACAAAACAAAACTATAACTTCATCTTTGAAACTAAGTGTGATGGCAAATATTGTCAACCTGATAGGGTCTAGAATCTCTGAGGAGAGGCTGAGGAAATGGTTCAGTGGTTAAAGTACTTGCCATGGAAATTCAAGAACTGGAGTTGAGATCTCTAGTACCCACATAACTGCTGAGTGGTGTGGTGGCCTGCTCGTAATTCCAGTACTCAGAAGGAGGAGACAGGAGATCCCTAGAGCAAGCTGGGCTAGCTAGACTAGCTGTATTGGTAAGCTCTCATTGAATAAGGTGGGGAGAACATCAAGGAAGATTCCCAGTGTTAGCCCTGAGACTCTTCATATACCCAGATGCATGTGCATGGGCATTTGCATATATGGGTGCGTCCATGTATAGAAACACAAGTGTGCATTCACCCTCCAGCCACATCCCCCACCTCCAAAAAATAAAATATAAAAAACCACTGAGGAGATAGCCTACTCTGGAGGGAGTCTCTCAGTTTGGTTAGCTTTTGGGTTTGCCTGTGAGACATGTTCACATTAAGTCAGCCTCTGGGCATATCTGTGAGAGATTAGGTCACTGCGGTGAGAAGACTCGCCCTTCCAAGACCTGGGGCTGAATGGAGAGGCTGAGCAGCAGCTTTCACCCGCTTCCTGACTGCAGGTGCAGGGTGGCGGCCTGGCCTCACTTCCTGCGGCTCTGCTTTTTCTGTCCTGATGGACAGTAACCCCTGAACTGTAAACCACGATAAGCCCTTCCCTCCTCAAACTGCCTTATTCCAGCAACAGGAAGAGTAACTAACAGACTGCTCCTTTTCCTTATAGACTATTTTGTATGCATTGAGTTATTTTTCTATAGAATAAATTGAAAAGTAAATTGTGTTTTGTTTAACTGTTGAGTAGATAAAGAAATTTTTACCTTATACTTTTTTCATGTTTTAGTTTCTTTTTATGTTCAAGTGTCACACCTTTTTATATTTTCTTCATAATGCCTGGGTCTTCATTTAGGATGAGTTTTATGCATATTTAGAGCTTAAGGTTATATTGTATAAGCTTTCCATCACTGTGGCAGTTGTCCGTGATCAACCACCAATACAGAGAAAAGGCGTGTTCTGGCATGTGGTCAGAGGTCTGAGTGCGGTTGGTTGACTGTGCTGTGGGGCCTATGAAAAGGCAGAACAAAGTGGCAGGGAGTGCAGATAAAACATACCATTCACCTCATGGTAGCAGGAAAGGAGAGCTGGAAGGGGTAGAGAGGAATGGGTGGGGTTCTTGGTATCCTCTTCAGGTGTTTCCCCCAGTGACCTGACTTCCTTCCACAAGGCCCTCCCCCCAGCGGTTCTCCAGCCTCTGAACGGCAGCCCAGTTGGTGACCAGCCTTTAACTACGGTCTTTGGGAGGCACTTCAGGACTAATGGTGTTGTTAACTTTCTTTAAGTACGGAAAAGCATCTTTATGTAGGGGTAGTTTCAAATTTTCTAGGTTAAAGAGTCTTCAGTTTGGGTTCAGTGTATTCTTGACATTTTATTGGAACCATTTTGACAAACTTTCTCACACTGCTTTTCATAGATCTATAACCACAGTTTTAATTTCTATTGTTTGTCTTTGCTGACGTGAACAAAGTTAGAAGTTAAATAAATCCACATAGTGGACTTCTTCCTTAAACACTCATCATAGGGACTGGAAAGATGGGTCAGTGGTTAGAACACATGCTACTCTTGCAAAGGCCCAATTTCAGTTCCCAGCACCAACGGTGGTTTACAGATACTAGTACCTCTAGCTCCAGGGGGATTTGACACATTTGGTTCATACACACACACAATTTAAAAATAAAAATAAATCTTAAAATGGATTTGAGAGATGACTTTGCATTAATGCCATCAGTCCGTGGTGGCCAGTTAGCCTGGAGTCAGCATCTGCCCTGAGGTCTGAATTCCTGTCCCAGCTGTGCCTTGGTTCCTCCTGGTGCTTCCCTCCTTCCCAGTTTTCTTCTCCCCACACAGGAAGGGGATTCTGACTGGGTGGCTGGGTGGCTGGGTGGCTGGGTGGCTGGCCCCTGGCGTCCTCCTCGCCTCCTTTTCTTGTTCCTCACTCTCTTCCCTAGATTTCTCCTCCTATTTACTCTCTCTGCCTGCCAGCCCCGCCTCCCTATTGGCTGCGCAGCTCTTTATTAGACCAATCAGGTGTTTTAGGCAGGCAGAGTAACACAGCTTCACAGAGTTAAACAAATGCCACATAAAAGAATGCAGCACATTTTTACATCATTAAATAAATATTCCACAGCATAAATGAATGTAACATATCTTCAACTAATATTCCATAACATAACTGCTAGTTGGATTCTTGGGCTAAATTCCTAGCTAGATGAGTTTTAAAACCTTGCAGGGTGTCTTAACTCTTTGGTTCTGTCCTATCTCCAAATATGCACACAGAATTACTTGTCTAATGGTTAGTCCATAGGCTTTCTGTACGGAGAGGCCTAATAGATATTCTAGGCTAGCTTCCCTCCCACCCTCTGCCTTTACAAGGTTTTACCATGGCTGTCTTTTATGTGGTTAGTTTTTAAAGCTCAAGCTTTGATATATACTGACTTTTATTTTTTTTGTGTGTTAATTTTTTGTATACAAGTAAAGGAATGATTATTTTTATTTTACACAATTATTATTTTATACCCTTTCACTCCAAACTTACTTTGAATTTTTGTCGTTTGTCTTTTATGATTTCAGGACAAAAATTGCCCAAGATATTGAGAGGTTGATTCACCAGAATGATATCATAGACCGGGTGGTGTATGACTTAGACAACCCTAAGTGAGTCTGATCTCTAAAACCTTTTATTAAGTTTTAGTTTTTATAATAAAATATTAGTATTATTTTAAAAAAATAAAATAATTATCTTTTTATCATATCTCCCCCATATTTTATTGTTGCTGTTTTCATCCTTTAACAGGTAGGTATATGATGATCATGATAAATCTTGTTCATTTTTTAAGTTGAAAGATAGCAAGCATAAGCCTTTGTTTTTAGGTGAAATTTAAAGGATATAAGCTAATACCGTGGTTTTGGAAAAATGAAAGTACCTCTACTTATTTTCACAAGAAATGCTGTCCTTTACTACTGTAGCACTGGACCAGTCACTGGAGTTCCCACCCTGGCCTTGTGGCTTGGCAAGCCAGCCATTTGCTACCTTTGAATTATCACTGATAGTGTGTGTCAGGATTTAACTGTAGTAAATAAATAAAAATTGTAACTACTCAAATAAGAAATTCAGTCAGCTCTCTTTGAGTCTCTCCTCTCCTTACTGTATTAACTACTTTGAGGAAATTTGACATTTTCCCTATCATGATTGGAGGAGACAAACTTTTAATGATTATTGGTAGATATGAGTAAAAGCTCTATCAAAGGTGGGACTGAATCTGGAATATTCTTTGTTGTTGTTTATGGCAGAGTCTTCCACAGTAGCTTAGGCTGACATGGAACTCACTGTGTAGCCCAGGCTGACCTCCAACTTAAAATACTTCTGGTTCAGGAGGCATGTGTCACCATTCCTGACTTTCAAATCTTCTTCCACAAGGAAAGAATAACATACCTTATTAAGCATGTAGTTATTTCATTGTTCATGCTTCCATGTTAGATGTGGAACCCCGAGTATGGGCATGTCCAGCTTGTTCCTAACAGATGTGACTATGGACAGAAATGCTGAGCTTCTAGGAGTTTCCTAGTCCTTGTTTTAGATGAGACTCTTCAGAGGAGCAGAGTCAGGCAGACAACGAAAGTGCCTGGTGTGTGGGTGCTCAACCATATGATAGGTAAAGCCCCTATCTGTCCATGTTAGCTAAAAGCAAAAACTGCATAGTTTGTTAGAATTATGGCTACTTATCAGGCAGTTTTAAAAATAAATCTTTTTCCCTATGTAATAATCAGTATTTTAGAAATGACATTTATTCAGCAAGGCAAAGTCCTTATTATGGGTACAAATGTAGGAACAAGTCTCTTGTAATTATAATTTGAGTATAAATGGAAGTCACATTTTTTCTTTGTTGTATTTGCTATATTCTTTGCTTTAAAAGGAAGGAGGGAAGCAGTGTGTATTTTTGATCTGTCCTCTAGTTTTAGTCTTTGCTTATCTGTTTAAGTGTGATATATTTTAATATATTTATTTTAAAATATTTATTTAGCTATGCCACTCCAGAAGAAGGAGATATTTTGAAGTTTAACTCAAAATTTGAATCTGGGAATCTGCGCAAAGTAATTCAAATTAGAAAGTAAGCCATTTAAATATCCTCATTTTGTGTGCACACAGACACTCCCGACTTGCCATCAGTTGTCTTTGTCTTGTGTTGTAGAAGCGAGTATGACCTCATTCTGAACTCGGACATAAACAGTAACCATTATCACCAGTGGTTCTACTTCGAAGTCAGTGGGATGCGGCCCGGTGTTGCGTACAGGTTCAACATCATCAACTGTGAGAAGTCCAACAGCCAGTTTAATTATGGTGAGGCTCTTGCTCTCTCCTGTGAGGGACATGCAGGCAGTTACCTGTAGGACCAGAAATCAGCATGGAGGCACCACCTTAGATATACTCAGTGTCTCTGGTTTCCAAACCTCAGCCATTTACCATGCACGGTTTGAAATAGCTTAAACTCTGGTTGGCTGGTCAAAAGAGCTACCCTCATGTAGACATCCCTTTAAGCTGTGGTAGCTGTTGTTGATCTCATCCAAATGGAACACAATTACAGATACCGTCAGGGGTTTCTTCTTTACTTAGCCTGTTAATATGCTGCATAGGTTTGATTTTAGGATATTAAACCCGCCTTTTTTCATTTATAGAATGAATCATAGAATTGCTAATGTTTTGTTAAAAATTTTTGCATTTTAAGCTGAGCCCAGTGCTGCATGTCTGTCATTGCCTGTAAGCCCAGTCCTACCTAAGAAAGAAAATGTGGGACAGGATGGGTGAGGGGCATTTACATTTTAGGCTAGGGCTGCAATTCAGTGATGGCTCAGTCCACAAAGTTCTGGATTCTGTCCTCAGCTCCAGAAGAGAAAAAACAAAGAAAAAATATTTTTACATTTGTGCATAGGAAGCTGTACTTCCCTCTCCCCAGCTCCCCTCACCGTATCCACTTTTGGTATCAGGATAATACTGACTTGGTACAACATGGCACGTCTTCCTTCCATTTTCTGAAAGTCCTTGTGTAGAACTGGTGTTAATTCTGCAAGGCATGATGGAATTTTCTAGTGAAACCATCTGAGCTTTAGAATTTTCTTTTGTTGGTTGTCTTGTAAACTGGAATCATTTCCTTAGCAGTTGAGGACTGTTGGTGCTCTGCTACATGGAGCCTGAGCTGCAGAAGCCTCTGCTTTTCCTAGTGGGTCCATTTCTTCCCAGATGACAGTGGCTCACTGTTCCTGTGTGTCGCTGTTTCTCTGTTTGCAAGGTCTGTGCTGATAACCTCCGTTTCATTTTCTGTAATGGTAGCTGTGTCTTGGCCCTTCTTTGTCGAGATCTTGCTTAGCTACCCACACAGAACTCACATTTTGCTTACCTTGTATCCACTGAATACCTGCTACTGGACATGTTTCTGTTCTTGATCAGTTTCTGTCCATCACAGAATGAATTCTTACTGCACAGTTTATTGACAGTGTTGAGGAAGAGTATTTTGTTTATTGCCTTCCTTGCTGCTGCTCTCTGAATAATTTTCTTTTCTTTTTAAAATAGATCTCTAGTGTTTGGAAGGAGAAATCTGAAGGGTAGAGTGTCACTTAAGGCTGCTGTGTTCAGTGAAATCTAAGGATAATCACATAAACTTAATATTTGCATGTAAAAGTCAAAACTTCATGTTTCAAATCTAAAAATAGCAAGTTTTTTTATATAATATGTACACACACACACACACTCTCTCTCTGTCTCTCTCTGTCTCTCTCTCTGTCTCTGTCTCTCTGTCTCTGTCTCTCTCTGTCTCTCTCTGTCTCTCTCTCTCTCTCTCTCTCTCTCTCTCTCTCTCTCTCTCTAACATACAAAACATCCCTTTATAACAGATTGAGGAGAAATATGTTACAAAATGATAGTGGTCTCAATCATTAGTTAGGGAGATCAGAAAACTTTCAACAAGAGGCATGAGAGACACTGCATTCCGTGCCTCCAGTCACTTCCCTTAATTGTTAGAGCATCTGGAGATGATGCTCTTAAAAGAGACAGTTCTGGAAATGAAAGCTTTTGAGAGCAGAAGTGGTTATTGCCAGTTGTCCTTTATGTGGAAGTAGGAAATGGTATACTCCAGAATTACTCACTTGTATGAGATAAAAGCTTTGTCATTTTTCTAATGAAATAATAGGATGATTAATAGTGTAATATCTGACATGGTTATAAATACTTTTTAAAGATGTGAAGTCTTATCTAATTTTCAGATAGTCTTGTAAAAGTAAATGGGTATGTTTTGACTAAAAGATCAATAGTTACATTGGTTTGCATGGCTGGTGATAGGAATATTCCTGATGTATTCTAGGATACTACATCTTTAGTGTTATACACTAAAATCACACAATCACTGAATGTGACTTTTGTATCTATCCAAGTACTAGAGAAATCGGTTAGCCTCTGAGATCAGATGGGACTGGATGGGGTCATGATGGTATGCCCATCACCAGAATGTGACCTTGTTGTATGATATTTTGCTTGTGTTCTGACAAATAAAGCTTGCCTGGAGATCAGAGGGTGGAGCTAGCCACTAGTTAACCATAGAGGACAAGCAGTGGTGGTACACACCTTTAATCCCTGCACTTGGGAGGAGGAAGCAGGAAGATCAGGAGTTCAAGTCCACCCTGGGCTACATGAGATTAAACCAGTCTAAAAGAGAAACAGCTGGCGATGGTGGTGCATGCCTTTGATCCCAGCACTTGGGAGGTGTAGACAGGAATATAAGGTGGGTGGAGACAGGATCTCCATTCAGTCTGAGGATTCGGAGAGGTAAGAAGTTCCTAGTGGTTGCTGCTCTGCCTCTGAGTGGCTGTTCAGTTTTGTACAGTGTTGATATGTAACATTTTCCTGTGTTCGTGACATTTAGATTGCCATTGGTAGTGCAGAGTTGTGAACAGAAACTGCAGTGTATACACGTTTTTGTGCTTGGGCTGTTCTTTTTATGTATTTAAAATATTTTATTTTTATATAAAATACACAGCTGCTGGCTTATTCATTTCCTTTAGAAGTTTTCCTTAATTTTGACCTTTACCTCCCTGTAAATTAGTACTTTTCTTACTTCCTTAATTTGTTTTTGTAGACGATCAGAACATTTTAAATTTCCTCTTTATTACAACTTAATTTTGAATCCTTCCCTGACTTTAATATTTGTCTTTTTTGTTTGTTTTTGTTTTCTATTTTTTGTTTGTTTTGTTTTGTTTGTATTTTCAAAACAGAGTTTCTCTGTGTAGCCATGGCTGTCCTGGAACTCGCTGTGTAGACGAGACTGGCTCACACTCACAGAGATCCTCCTGCCTTTGCCTCCTGAGCGCTGGGGTTGAAGGTGTGCGCTTTCCCCTCTTTGTGGGGAAGCTTGGGCATTTGGTCTAGAGGATGCTGAGAGATGGGCACTTGGAAGTGGACTCAGTAGGTAGAGGTGTTCTTTAGCAGGGCTCCCCAGGTGGGGAGTCTGGTCATTGCTTTCATTTCTATTAAGTCGTTTTCTCACAAATGATCCTAAAGCAGTTTTACAATATATTTCTGAGAGTACTTTGTGTTGCTAAATTTGAGAATTGGTGTCACTATCTCCACACCCTGCTTATCTGTTACTTGAAAAGATTTTCTTAACTTGCCACTAGGTGGCAGTTTTACATTTATTATGCCAGCTTTAGTTTCAAGCTTCTGTTTGACTCTCTCCCTGCATCAAACTCTCAAGTTCAAGAGGGTTCTAACTACCTTCTTGTGAAAATCAAACCTGCTTGGGAACAGGCACCACTACACAGCTGGGGATCTACTCCCCATGCCCTGGAGTTTGGCCGGGGGTTATCTACTAACAAGTGGTTCAGACAGTGTCCCTGTGACCTTCCCTTCTGCTGCTATTTAGGCTGCATGTTGTTTATAGTTGTGTTACTAATACTTTCCCTGCTGTCTCAACGTGTATGTGGATTCTTTGAGATAGGAACAGAGGACTGTTCTGTACATTAACACCATGGCTCATATTAGATGTTAAGTAAGTGTTTGTTAATTGGTGCAGAGAATGTGAGGACTGTGATGATCATGCTGGTAGCCTAGAATGAGCATGCACAAGGTACTTATCAAAAACCCTAGTGTAGTTTAAGATCCTTGACTTTTCGTGTATGTTATGTGAGTATATGTGTTTGTGTTATGTATGTATATGTGTGTATGGTGTGGGTGTGTTGTGTGAGTATATTTGTGTATATAATGTGTGTGCTGTATGTATATATGATGTGTGTGTCTGTGTGTATGTGTATGAGTGCAGGTGCATGCATGCTATGACTTGAATGTTGAGGTCAGAGGACAACTTTAGGTGTCCATCTTTGTCTTCCATTTTGTTTGAGTCAGGATCTCTCTTGTTTATAGCTGTGTACAGTGGACCACCTAGCCCAAGAGCTTCCAGAAACCCTCCTCTTTTCTTCTTCTTCCCATCTCCTGGTAGGGATGTGCTGGGATTAAAAATGTTAGGCTTCTGCATCTGGCTTTTGTGAGGGTTCTGTGGGTCCAAGCTCAGGGCCTCAGGCTTGTAAGGCAAGCACTTTATCCACCAAGCCATCTCCATGGCTGCCAACTCTTTCTAAAAGTTTTATTTTGAAATAACTTCAAGTGTAAGGAGAGTTGCACAGTTGGTCAAGATGCTGACCCTCTGAAGTGGTGCTCCATCATGATTGGATTACTTTGTATCTGTTTTCTACAGATCATGACTTTTTATGTGTCACTGTAGCATTACTGTTAGGATCATGAAATTGTCATTAACACATGAAATACCTTCTAGTCCTCGGTTCCCCATTTAATTCAGACTTTTTTTTTAAATCAATAAAAAGGTTTAGCTCACAGCCACATTTTCAGTCTTTCAATTCTTTCATACACTCAAGTGATCTGTATTGAAGTCTGCCACCAATAGCGTGTTTATTCTCCTTGTTTCCTGTAGTCTATTCTTTATTGCTCTGTGCATAAATAATAAACATTGCTGGACTTTCACTGTGAAGTGTGACTCTTACAGAAAAGAGATGGCTCAGTGAGTGGAGATGCTTGCTGAGCAAGCCTGACCTGCGGTCTATCCCATGAGAACCAACTCCTGACAGTTGCCTTCAGACTTCCACATGCACACCGTGGCCTGCTGGTACTCATATACACACATGCCTCTCTGTCTGTCTGTCTGTCTGTCTCTCTCTCTCTCTCTCTCTCTCTCACACACACACACACATACACACACACACACACACACACACAGACAGACAGACAGACAGAGTTTTCTTTTAAACACTTCTTTGTCTCGTTTAGTATGTTTTGGCCTTGAT